CTCATCTGTCCATAGGATATTGGTCCAGAACTGTGATGGCTTTTTTAGATGTCGTTTGGGGCAAACTCTAATCTGGCCTTCCTTTTTTTAGAGGCTCACCAATGGTTTACATTCTTGTGGTGAACCCCTCTGTATTCACTCTGGTGAAGTCTTCTCTCTTGATTGTTGACTTTGACACACATACACCTACCTCCTGGAGAGTGTTCTTGATCTGGCCAAGTGTTGTTTTTGAAGGGTGTTTTCTTCACCAGGGAAAGAATTCTTTGGTCATCTACCACAGTTTTTTTCCGTGGTCTTCCGGGTCTTTTGGTGTTGCTGAGCTCACCGGTGCGTTCCTTCTTTTTTAAGAATGTTCCAAATAGTTGTTCACTGTCAGGAATGGACTGGCCAGCAATAGTGGGACTCACCTGCCTTCTGAGCTGCAGTACCAGGGCTGGCCAGCGGGTGCTCACAGCAATCAGAGACTCAACCTTGCAGCCAGTCAAACACCTGGAACTAATTATACTGATGCATTTAAGGGACATTCAGACCTGCAGACTCTGACTTGGTGTTTGTTTTCTCTTGGGCCCTGTATCCTGTTCCTGCTCTCTGTTCCTGCTCTCTGTTCCTGTCTGATTCTCTGCTGACCCTGCTCTGATCCCTGGCTTGTCTGACCATTCTCCTCTGCCTGACCCTCTGTACCACGCTGCCCGCTACCTGCTGAACCTGGCCTGTGACCCCGACCATTCTCATATTGACCCGGCCTGCCTGACGACGCTTGCATTGTATGTACTGTTATCTGTGGGTGGTTGGTTGGTTTGTTTGCACTGTGTTATGTTTTAGTATTGCACTGCGTTTATGTTTGTATTGTTAGTGTTAATAAATTACATTGTTTATAACATATCTGAAGTCTGCATTTCCCTGCGTCAGTCACACACCTCTGGTCATACCCGGGAGCCCTGACATTACACCAAGGCCAATCCTGACCAGAAGTGGCTGCACAGGGAAGCCATCTTGGTTTGTTGATGGGAAGGATGGATCTGGATGAGGTTGCGTATTTATATCTGCTAGTGTTTGATGACAGGGAGTATGCTTATCAAACTCTGAAGGAGTATCCCCGGGATGAACTGCTAGAATGTATACGGCTCGCTCATGTTCTAGTAGATCAGGGCACAGAGTTCTCTGAGGTGCAGCCTTTGATTGAGGTTTGTGCTGAGTTGGTTTCATCTGGTACCCCCGAATGCAGGGATGAATTTTTGCCACCATTTAGTGCAGACCAGGTAGAGTCCCTGGTATGGTTATTAGAGGATGATGTGGGTTACTTTCTGGAGCGTTATTCCACATGTTCACCACAGGTACTAAGAGATTGTATAAACGCAGTGCAGTCTTTTGGTCAGACAGGCTTTGTGTAAGCTCAGCTTTGTTCAACCCCTACTGCAGACATGGACAGACTTGTTGCACCCAGCCTCAGTCAGCTTACAAAGACCCAGTCCTGCTTCTAATCTATTTCCTCAAAGCTCTATTCCTGCATTCCCAACAGCTCCTCCTGCCCTGCTATCTACCGCATGTCAGTACCCTGTTCCCACTCGCTGCACCTATCCTGCCTTTAACCCTGTAAAAAAGCCCTCTGTAGCAACTGCTCCTCCCCTGTTCCATCCTCCAGCTCTTCTCTGTCTCCAGCTGCTCCATTCGTTTGCAGACCTGCGTTTACTTGCAGTGCTCCAGTAGTTAAAACCAGAAAAAAGCGAAAATTCTTTCCAACCAATACCATCCTGCCAGTATCCAAACCGGTGAACCTGCCTTCCGTGGTTCAGCCTGAAGCCTCTACTCAGCCTGAAGCCTCTACTCAGCCTGAAGCCTCTACTCAGCCTGAAGCCTCCTCTACTCTGGCCCTGTACTGCCTGATGCCTGTACTCGGCCTGATGCCTCTACTCGCCTGATGCCTCTACTCGGCCTGATGCCTCTACTCTCAGCCTGAAGCCTCTACTCGGCCTGAAGCCTCTACTCGGCCTGAAGCCTCTATCGGCCTGATGCCTCTACTCGGCCTGAAGCCTCCTCTACTCAGCCTGATGCCTCTACTCAGCCTGAAGCCTCTACTCGGCCTGAAGCCTCTACTCAGCCTGAAGCCTCTACTCAGCCTGAAGCCTCTACTCAGCCTGAAGCCTCTACTCAGCCGGACGCCGGCATTCAGCCTGATGCCTCTACCCAGCATGATGAACTGATCCAGATGAACCTGACTGACGATCCTATTAGGCCAGTTGACTCGATGCCCGCTGTTGATCCAGATGATCCGTACCTGATCCGGTGCCCGCTGTCGTGCCAATTGACCTCAGAGCCCGCTGTCGTACCTGGTGACTCGGTGCCCACTGCCTTGCCAGATGACGCGGTGCCCGCTGGCGAGCCAAATGACCTGATGCCCTGGTGACCCAGGGCCCGATGCTGTCATACCTGGTGACCCGATGCCCGCTGTCGAGCCAGACGATCCAATGCCTGGTGACCCGGTGCCCACTGCCTTGCCAGATGACGCGGTGCCCGCTGGCAAGCCAAATGACCTGATGCCTGGTGACCCAGTGCCCGCTGTCCATACCTGGTGACCCCGATGCCCGCTGTCGAGCCAGACAATCCGGTACCTGATGACCCGGTGCCCACTGTCGTGCCTGTTGACTCGGAGCCCACTGCCTTGCCAGATGACGCGGTGCCCGCTGTCGAGCCAAATGACCTGATGCCTGGTGACCCAATGCCCGCTGTCCAGTCAGACGATCCAATGTCTGACCCAGTGCCCGCGGTCATACCAGTTGACTCGGAGCCCACTGCCTTGCCAGATGACGCGGTGCCCGCTCTCGAGCCAAATGACCTGATGCCTGGTGACCCAGTGCCCGCTGTCATACCTGGTGACCCGATGACCGCTGTCGAGCCAGACAATCCGGTACCTGATGACCCGGTGCCCACTGTCGTGCCTGTTGACTCGGAGCCCACTGCCTTGCCAGATGACGCGGTGCCCGCTGTCGAGCCAAATGACCTGATGCCTGGTGACCCGATGCCCGCTGTCCAGCCAGACGATCCAATGTCTGACCCAGTGCCAGCGGTCATGCCAGTTGACTCGGAGCCCACTGTCGTGCCTGGTGACTCGGTGCCCGCCGCTTCGCCTGGGGGCCCGAGACCTGTCGCTCCGCCTGGGGGTCCGGCGCTCGCCGCTCCGCCTGGGGGTCCGGCGCCCGCCGCCCCGCCTGGGGGCCTGAGACCTGTCGCTCCGCCTGAGGGCCCGACCTGTTTGCTCCACCTGGGGGTCCGGCGCCCCCGCCGCTCCGCCTGAGGGCCCGAGACCTGTCGCTCCACCCTGGGGGTCCGGCACCCGCCCCCGCTCCTGCCTGTCGCTCGCCTGAGGGCCCGAGACCTGTCGCTCCACCTGGGGGTCCGGCGCCCGCCGCTCCGCCTGAGGGCCCGAGACCTGTCGCTCCGCCTGGGGGTCCGGCGCCCGCCGCCTCCGCCCGCCTGAGGGCCCGAGACCTGTCGCTCTCCACCTGGGGGTCCGGCGCCCGCCGCTCCCGCCTGAGGGCCCGAGACCTGTCGCTCCACCTGGGGGTCCGGCGCCCGCCGCTCCGCCTGAGGGCCCGAGACCTGTCGCTCCTCCTGGGGGTCCGGCGCCCGCCCGCCTGGGGGCCCGAGACCTGTCTCCGCCCTGAGGGCCCGAGACCTGTCGCTCCACCTGGGGGTCCGGCGCCCGCCGCTCCGCCTGAGGGCCCGAGACCTGTCGCTCCACCTGGGGGTCCGGCACCGCCCGCCCGGGGGCCTGCCTGACCTGTCGCCCGCCTGAGGGCCCGAGACCTGTCGCTCCGCCTGGGGGTCCGGCGCCCGCCGCTCCGCCTGAGGGCCCGAGACCTGTCGCTCCCCTGGGGGTCCGGCGCCCGCCGCCGCTCCGCCTGAGGGCCCGAGACCTGTCGCTCCGCCTGGGGGTCCGGCGCCCGCCGCCCGCCTGAGGGCCCGAGACCTGTCGCTCCACCTGGGGGTCCGGCGCCCGCCGCTCCGCCTGGGGGCCCGAGACCTGTCGCTCCACCTGGGGGTCCGGCGCCGGCGCCCGCCGCTCCACCTGAGGGCCCGAGACCTGTCGCTCCGCCCTGGGGGTCCGGCGCCCGCCGCTCCGCCTGAGGGCCCGAGACCTGTCGCTCCCGCCTGGGGGTCCGGCGCCCGCCGCTCCCGCCTGGGGGCCTGATGCCCCGTCGCCCCGCCTGGGGGGCCCGATGCCCGTCGCCCCGCCTGGGGGCCCGATGCCCGTCGCCCCGCCTGGGGGCCCGACGCCCGTCGCTCCCCTGGGGGCCGGCCCTGCCGCTCTGCCTGGGGGCCCGGCCCGGTCGCCCCGCCTGGGGGCCCGATGCCGGTCGCCCCCCCCTGGGGACCCGATGCCTGTCGCCCCGCCCGGGGGGCCCGGTGCCGGTCGCCCTGCCCGGGGGGCCGGTGCCTGTTGCCCCGCCCGGGGGGCCCGGTGCCTGCTGCTGCCCGCCTGGGGGCCCGATGCCTGCAGCTCCGCCCGGGGGCCCGCTGCCTGCTGCTCCGCCCGGGGGCCCGCTGCCTGCTGCTCTGCCCGGGGGCCCGCTGCCTGCTGCTCCGCCCGGGGGGTGCCCGCTGCCTGCTGCTCCGCCTGGGGGCCCAGTGCCTGCTGCTCCTCCTGGGGGCCCGGTGCCTGCTGCTCCGCCTGGTGGCCCGCTGCCTGCTGCTTCGCCTGGTAATCCGATGTGCCTCTGCCCAGAGTCCGGCCGGCCCGATGTGCCTCTGCCCGGAGTCCTGCCCGATGTGCCTCTGCCCGGAGTCCAGCCCGATGTGCCTCTGCCCGGAGTCCTGCCCGATGTGCCTCTGCCCGGAGTCCTGCCCGATGTGCCTCTGCCCGGAGTCCTGCCCCGATGTGCCTCTGCCCGATGTGCCTCTGCCCGGAGTCCAGCCCGATGTGCCTCTGCCCGGTGTCCTGCCCGATGTGCCTCTGCCCGGAGTCCTGCCGATGTGCCTCTGCCCGGAGTCCTGCCCGATGTGCCTCTGCCCGGAGTCCTGCCGATGTGCCTCTGCCCGGTGTGCCTCTGCCCGATGTGCCTCTGCCCGGAGTCCAGCCCGATGTGCCTCTGCCCGGAGTCCAGCCCGATGTGCCTCTGCCCGGAGTCCAGCCCGATGTGCCTCTGCCCGGAGTCCAGCCCGATGTGCCTCTGCCCGGAGTCCAGCCCGGTGTGCCTCTGCCCGGAGTCCTGCCCGATGTGCCTCTGCCCGGTGTGCCGCTGCCCGGAGTCCTGCCCGGTGTGCCAGTCTTTGATATCCCGCCAGTTACCCCGGGCGGTGGAACATTTTGCCCAGCTAGGACTGTTTGGAGCGTCCTGAGGCCGCTCCTTGAGGGGGGGGGGGTACTGTCAGGAATGGACTGGCCAGCAATAGTGGGACTCACCTGCCTTGTGAGCTGCAGTACCAGGGCTGGCCAGCGGGTGCTCCCAGCAATCAGAGACTCAACCTTGCAGCCAGTCAAACACCTGGAACTAATTATACTGATGTATTTAAGGGACATTCAGACCTGCAGACTCTGACTTGGTGTTGTGTTTCTCTTGGGCCCTGTATCCTGTTCCTGCTCTCTGTTCCTGTCTGATTCTCTTCTGACCCTGCTCTGATCCCTGGCTTGTCTGACCATTCTCCTCTGCCTGACCCTCTGTACCACGCTGCCCGCTACCTGCTGAACCTGGCCTGTGACCCCGACCATTCTCCGCTTGCTCCCCCTGTACCTACCTGCCCGACTGATATTGACCCGGCCTGCCTGACGACGCTTGCATTGTATGTACTGTTATCTGTGGGTGGTTGGTTGGTTTGTTTGCACTGTGTTATGTTTTAGTATTGCACTGCGTTTATGTTTGTATGGTTAGTGTTAATTAATTACATTGTTTATAACATATCTAAAGTCTGCGTTTCCCTGCGTCAGTCACACACCTCTGGTCATACCCGGGAGCCCTGACAAGCACACTTGAAATGAATTCTGGACCTTTTATGTGCTCATTGTAATTGGGATAATGAGGGAATAACATACACCTGGCCATGGAACAGCTGAGAAGCCAATTGTCCCATTACTTTTAGTTCCTTAACAAGTGGGAGGCACATAATGGACCCTGACTGTGTATATATATATATATATATATATATATTCAAAAATGTTCTGTAATGTTTTCCTGTGGTCAATGTCTTATTTAAAACAAGAGGCTCCTTGTGTGGTCTGATGATGTGAAAACATGCCCACAATGCTGAAGGGGAACTGAAAAGAGCAGCAACTTTTTAATATCAGTGTGAAAGACTTACATTTAATAAAAAAATTAATATTAAGTAATTTAGTAAGGTTTTCAGTTCTAGTGATTTATGTAAAATAAGTTGTGAATTTTACTGACAGGTCCACTTGAGCTGAGTCTTCCAAGGCATAGAGCATTTCCTAAAATGGTTGTTACTTACACTGGCCGTTCATGAGGTGGTCAACGAAATGAATAGTACATTTATCACACAATGCTTTCAAATAATTTGGATTTCTCTATTGGCTTGTGACAATTTTTAATTTTTAGATATATTTGAGAAACAAAACATTTTAATACAAAATCCTGTGCAAAAATTTCCAGTTTTGCATGGCTGTTCCATTTTTATTTGTTTTATTTTGCTTTTTTTTCTTAAATATGTATTAGGACGTTAATTTTTTTGTCGCAAATTTGTTTCGTGTTATTCTTTTTCGGGCATACGTTTTTACCCACTGGCAGGGCCCCCCGGATCAGCACGCGCAATCAGGTACATCTTCCTGGATCTCTGCAAGTTTTATTTTCAAAAGCTGGATAGTTGTGTGCTGAAGGAATCAGGCTGATTAAACTAGCAAACAGTAATACTGTAATAGCATTTCCATGGATTTAAGATCTCGAGCTAGCCCGGCCTCCTTCTAGCCAGAGCACACGGCCCCCGTGTTCCTGCCGATGGGGAATATTGTTTATTGCACTAAATTTAAATTATGTTACGCGCCAGAGCATTTCACGTTTTAGACGTTTTGTTTAACAGATTTTTGGGGCAGGGAAGTATACTTCGTACCTGTTTATTGTTCAGCCACGATTGCAAGGCCCGGTTGAAATGGATGTAACAGATCAGAATGGTGTCAGAGGTGTTCAGGTATGAGGAATCATTTATTGCTATACAATGTTCCTGGGTTTAGTTGTAGTCCTAGCAAAGGAAATTTCTGTACAGCACATTGGGGTTGATTTACTAAAAAATACTGTCTTATGTGTTGATCAGTCACGCATCAATCCTGCATTTGCAAAAAATTGTTATGTTGATGGATAGGGATATCTAGAGTGGATTTTGGTAAAAATAATAAAAAAATTATTCTTCTGCAGAAATATCCATGCAAAAATTTCAATAAAAGCAAAATATCAATACTACTGGTTAAGGCGGAAACTTGCTTTTGAAAAAAAAAATATATATATATATATAATTTTTTTTTAATTAGGTTTTTTTTCTAGAGGAGAAGGGTCTGTTTGTTTTGTATTTAGGGTAGTTTCCTGTTATTTCTTTTCTTCAAAGTCGTAATGAAAGTTCTGGTTTTCTGGCAGCAGGATGAAACGCTTGTCGTACATCTTGGATGCACGCTCCACTGGGATTTCCCCTGACCCCCTTCCGTTGTGTAGTGCATTTGTCAGCCGGGGACCGTTCAGTGGCCCATGTATTCACTTACTAGTGATGAATGCCCCACTGTCTGCACAGGGGGGGACAGGAGTTGTGAAGATGGGGGGTAGGGGAGTAGGGGAAAAGGACATTGGAGGAGGACACTGGAGATGAGCAATTATTTTTTCTATATATATTGTATTTTTTCAATAAAAACGGATGATCGCCACAAGTTGGTGTCATATTCCAACTTTTCTTTTCCTTGTTGGTGCAGTAGTTTAATCAATTTTCAGTTTAGTTCTCTTGTATTTTCCTTTATCCCTTTTTTGTTTGTATATTTTAAATAGCTATTAATGATGTATTGTCCGTGGTGGACAACAAAAAAAACTAAAAATAGTGAGGTCTGTTGAGCAACTCCCAATGATTGAGGCCAATTTTTATATTTTGCTTTTAAAGTTTATGTTAAACTCTAGAATGAACCTTTTTGGGGTTTTTTTAAAAGGGGAAATTAGCCAAAGCTCAGTTTTCAGCTAAAGTC